CGGTCTCCCGCATATGCTCAAGCTCCCCTCAACCTACCTCGCCACCAAACAGCGCTCAGCTTGTTTCCTTACCGTCTTCTCGAGTGCCGTGTCCCCTAGAAGCTAACAGCATGACTTCATTACCCACTCAGCGGCGGACTTGATCGCGAACCAAGCCTCCAAATAAAATCATCGGCATGAGGCTCACTTGCAATACCGAACCCTCGCTATTCTGGTAACCCATCAGTATTCCACGGCACTTGACACAGGAATGTCCTGAGAGCTAACAGATTAATAGAAGCAAACAATCGTCTTCTAAGCATGCAAATCTTAGGACCCGTTCTGCATGTTCAAAAATAAAAGTTTGATAAGGTTACTCGGAAATGCCTACGCCGTGCCAACTGGGTCATGTTTAAACGGCTTCCGAAAAGTGGACAGTGAACAATACAGAAATGATTCAAGGAGAAACATGAAATATTTACTTTACCAAAATAGTTATAAAATAGGATTGCATATCTTGATCTCGGTTTCCTGAAACTATGACTCGTCATCTTCGATTTTCGGAGCCAGGTAATAGCGGATGTAACCCAGTTCGTCAATCGTGAATTCGACAACTACAGACATTTAGGGAGAATAAAATATTACCTGCGGGAACGTTCTCAGTCAAAGAAAGCGTCACTTGACTGGAAAGTGGTGCGGCCTTAGCGAAGATGTTGAAGTAGTGCAAGGAATATGTCATGCTGACGGCCTCGCTCATTTCTATTGACACTGCCTCTTCCGGTTTATCAGCGTTGGCAGTCTGAGCAAGCTTTATGTTTCCAGAACCAAGATCACCAGTAGAGCTAAAGCGCACGCCATCCTTCGCAACAGAAATAACAACTGAGTCGCCAATTTGACCAAGATCTCTGCATATTCTTTGGAGCTCAGAAGCAGGCATTTTTATAACACACTTGTAATCTGTTTCCTATGGAAAATGAACGCAAGCATAACCACGTACCGGAATTCCTAGATGGTCAACATCCAAATCCATCAATTTTATTTCAAATTCGGATACCTTCTCCTGGTCTGAAACGATATGAAAAAGGAAAGCTGTTACTTACTCCGAGATTCGAAAAGAAAAGTGATAGTGTCTGCCTGATCTCCAGCCTTAAGAGTGACCGAGTCAGTTCCACCTGCGCATTTAAGGATTTTGGCAGCACTGAAAAATTAATCTTGTCAAGGAACTTGCCTGGTTATGTTGAGACCTAAGGAAATATTCCTGTCGCATCGGTATGTTTCAAAGCCGTCACTACGCAGGAGCAAGGATACTAAGCTCACGTGCGCACTATCCATGGCCTGCAAGCTTATTCCACTATCGGAACAATCAAGAGTAGCTTCTTGGACGAGGTCTTTCACGGCATCGATTATTTTCTTCCAGACATCCGCCTGCTGAAGACGAGCCTCGAACATCGCGCAAATTTTTCAAAGTAATTCGGACCGAAAGTCAAATGTAACACGGGAGTATTTAAACAAAACCATTCAGACAAAGGGAATAGGAGCATAAACTAAGATTGGAGGGCATAGAGTAATTGCTTGTATAGTGAAGGATTCCTTTTTTATTCATGCGTATGAACAGATTACAAGTAATTCTTAAAGGGAAGAGCAACAGGCAGAAACCTGATCTGGAGTTAGAGGACGAGCACCAATGTCCCTGGAAATTGGCGGATAGAATACAAATGCTAAAATGAGTTGACAATTCCATATAAATTAACGATATTATTTAAGTTGGTACCTGCGAATACTGTTAATGGAATCAATTCAACTAAAACATGCCATAGGTAAGGGGCCTACGAACATAGAAAACCCACCAAAGGAAACGTATACGGGAAGGAATTTAAATTTAGTTAGAACAGTTTGCACAAAGAGGAGCATTTTGCCTTCGTTTCCTTTGAATTTTCGCATTAACCGTAGATTGAACAAATTTGGACATTTTTCTGCTCAAAGTATACAGCGCATGTAGCTGTGACAGTTAGAGGTAGTTTGGATTGTGTAAACGTAAGGCCAAAGACTATGCAATCACAAGTATTCACTGACGCAGAAACTTCAAGTGTCTCGTCGAAACTTTGTAGATTACTATGAGTGCTTGTTTGCCGTCTACTCAATGGAAATGGGAGAACCATTTTGTCCTTAGGTGTCGCGTCTTCGTTCACTAAAAGTCTGCTCACGGAAGTGATGAAATTTTAATGTGACGAGATTGTTGGGCCGTAATTCCCAATCGGCATGGTGATGGGGGACCTAAAGATATTGTTCTTTAGTGGCAAATTTTAATACCAAATTGACGATTTGACTATGGTATCACGCTCTAGACTACTATCGGCTGATACCTGCAGGGAATAAGTCACTTTATTAAGGGAAGAAGGCTTTTGCCCTTGAGCCCCCTACTAGAGAAAATACAATTCTATCCTGCTTAAGAAAACCTTCATCCTGGAGGACATCCGTAGAGCACTATGAAAATTCATTCAGTTTTTTTCAATTAAGATGAGTCTGCTGCCCTAGCAATCTGGCTGGCAAAATATGCACTCCAGATATGCTGGAGAATGGATTGACTGTTATACGATACCTTTTGCGAGGATGAATTTTTCCCAAATTGGGCGCGCTAACGGCTGAGAAGATCGAGCGATTTCTCACACTGCTATTTAGAGGAGATGTGGCGAACAAAATTATACAACTTCCCTTAAAAACCGCTGTTGTGTGCACGTATCCAGTTGCACGTATCTCTAGCGCATTAAGACCCATCTGTTTGACAGCTGTCACCACGTAGACGTCTACCAGGCATTTTATGTAATATACAAAGTGTCGTTGAGATATTCCTAGTTCCCGCTTCAGTCGATACTTGCAACGTCAGAGACAGTGGCCACATGAATAGACAACCCAGTCCTCTGCCCCCACAAAGCATTCAGTCGGATCCTAATTTAGGACAATATCTCAAGATTCTGTGCGATGCTTTGACACCCACTTCCAGTTCGGCTGTTTCTTGAAAGCTACGCGTATGATAACTATAACTGTGATCTTAAATATCCAATCCCATGGACTAACAACACACCTATTTGAGTATCTAGCTCCACTATAAGTAAATTTTATAAAACGAAGTTGAAGGCTCGCTCTTGTGGTCTACAACAAGAAGAAATGTGCTCGACACTGTTGGTGTCATGACCTACCTTATATGGCTCAAATAAATCAGAACGGAGAAGTCTGCGGCGATTGGTAAGCATATTATGTTTTTGAAAACCTAGGCGTCTGACAGATTTTGCATAGAACTTATGAATTCAGCGTTCAGCTCAACTCAGGGCTCAAGGATGTGCGATTTAATATAGCCACTACTCTAAGAGTATTCCGTCTGACGAAATAAAGCAGTCAGATGTTGGGAGCAACTTATTAGTACACAAGGCAAGTTTCCGCAAATGGACTGTTTGATTGCGTGTGATAAATACATCCGTCTGGGGGACATATATCGCAGGGGGTTAAGCAAGTCTAACCGTGCAACTGCGATCTTCAGACCATGGTTAC